GTGGTAGTAGTTGTTGTTGTTGTTGCTGTTGTTGTTGTCGTTGGCACGGTCAAAAACAGCAGCCCACTACTTGTGCTAACTAAGAAGAGTTGGGATGCTTCCGGCGACCACATAGGGTGCCTGTAAAGTTTTGTGAAATGCAAGTCATGGTTTCCAGAGCATCTGCCCAATTGTTGCTTGTTGCAGGCACAACCCAGGCGCCCTGGTGTTGCAATTGCACTTGCCAGACTCTGGTGATGGCTTCGGCCTGGACAGCAACAGAAAAAGCATCGTGGCGGCCAACAGTCCGATGGGCACTGCCTCAAGTATTCCAGGGCCAGAAGCTGAAGCTCGCTGCCTTCGATGTCCAGTTTGAGGACCGTGTGGCGATCCGTCAAGCTTTGCCACCTGCTGCCTAACCGCAGCTGCCTATGGGTAATATACCCTGATTCAGGAAGACTCCCTAAATCAGAATAGGGATCCTACCGTCAAATCATGGCATGTTCGTTCATGAGGGATGAGACAAAGGCCCCGTTGAAATCAGGATTTCGTTTATAAGCGGGTGGATACGACAACTGGAGCCCCGTCTGTTGTTTTGACCCCTCCCACTTGCAATAACCGCCTACATTACACCACGTTTCCACCCCAGGTATGGGAATCCGCGAAGTCTACAAGGGGTATTGAAAGGGTCTGTCTGGAATCATCACGGGTTTGGATTGGATTTCGAACGGTTCAACAAGGGCTCGGATGGATTTTCCAGGGTTTTATGTGATGTTGAAGGGTTTCAGTGGGATTTTGCGTGGCTTTAGTCGGATTTTGAAGAGTGTAATTGACATTTGAAGGGTAGAGGTGGAAGAGTTGTGATGGTTTTAAAGATGGTTTGAAAGGGTTTCTGTAGCATTTGGAAGGGGATTTAGAAAGTCGCAATGCTTTGGAAAGAGTGGGCTATAGGCGCTGTAGCCCGTAGTTTAACGCAAACCCAAACCCCAAAGTCGCAAAGCCACAAAACCGCAAGTTCTTAAGCCTAGACACCCGTGAACCTTGGTCACCTACAGTATGCGCCCTGATGAGCCGATTAGGGCTCAAAGTCTATAGGCTCTGAAAGGTTCTGGGCGTTGCAGCTTTTGGTGTTAGGTGTTGGGCTGAGGACGGTGTTGGAGTAATTAATGTAACAGTTTCGTAGTCAGCTTCTGTGCAAGTGTTTCAATCTTGCTCCGGTTTTGCTTGACGACTGTTTTCTGAGCAGCCTGAACCCCCGAACCCAATCCCAAAAAAACAAACTGCAGCCCCAAACCGTCCAAGGTTTTGTTGAGAGAGAGTGCGCGGCCGCACACGTTAAAGCCAACCTGCCTAGAACGTTCCACACCAAAGCGCTAAACACCCAAAACTTAAAACCCTAAACTTGAGCCCAAAATAAGCCTGAACTCTTTTCCCCCCAATAGGCTGTAGCCGTTCCCTAGAAGGCCAAAGTTGCCAGTTAGGCTGTAGAAGTTTGGGGCTTTATCCCATGGAAACTCTTTGGAGATGAGACGCTCTTTCCCTTTCAGTTTGAATTGCTCCAAAGCCCTAAAGCTGGACATCAATATTAAACCTGAAGCCTGGAGACTACATGCACCGGAAATTGGCCCTGAAAATCTACACTACAACCCTGAACAAGAACCACAACACAATCTGAAACCCCTCACCTTTAGGCTCTGCCCTTGCCTAAGGGATGCGTAATCTGTTTTGCAAGAGCTGTAATTTACGGAATCATACCACAAGAAAGCGAAGATTTTGGCTCCGGTGGATTGTTTAAGTTTAAAACTCGAGTACCCCGAACTTGTAAGAGTCGAGAGAAGTTCCAAGTTCCCACTCAAGAAAGCAACATTCTGGCCACAGGAGATCACAATCATTCAAACCTGGAGACCTCAAGCCTAGAGACTTCAAGCCGAGCCTCCAAGATTCCCACACTAGATGCCATACTCGGGAGCCCCAAGCCCTGGCCGCAGGCCTGACCCCTCCAAACCAGATTTCCTGGGTTCATGGCTGTTTGACGTGGTATTTCGGTTTGCACTGTTTAGGTTGTCAGGATTCAATATCTATGCGGTAGTAATTATACACTTGTACCATGTACATTTTGGAACAGCTTCTACTTTGGAGGTGGAGCTTCCAAAACATAATGATGCCCTCCCTTCGAACCAGTCCAGGCACGAAGCACGTTCGCTCGCTCATCGTCGTCCTGATCCTCGTCCTCATGATTGCCCTCTGGACTTTGCGGTCTTCGCAGTGCGGTTCGAGGCATGTTCTCGGACGGTTGATGGATTTCGGGTTGTGCTTCGAGGCTTAAACTAAGAATTAACCCAATGGCTGCAGAATGAAAACTTTCGGACTTTGGCTGTGTTCATGTTTAACTTGACTGGAAGGAAGCTTTGGGGCTCATCGCAAGCTCGAAGGCCAGCCGGTAGGAACAGGGCATGTGATGCATTCCATTACAAGCCGCAGGGTGAGGGAGAAAAGGACGTTGCCGACGGTGAAGCTGCAGAGGGGCAACAAACCAATCGTAAACAGAAGCCGACGACTTCGCCATCCCCAGCACGCGACAGTCCGACTTGCAAAAGCTTGAAGCGGGATGGCCTGTGGCATCAGCATGATAACCCCACCCACAAGCTGCGCTTCCTGACCGCTGGGCCGCTAGGCAGAAGAGAACGTTTGGGGCACAGGCGGAAGCAGAACAAGCATGTGTCACCACCTTCACCTTCGGGAAGTACAAGGGCAAAACTTTTCCGTGCGTGAAGAAGAATGCCCACAACCATTTTATGTGGGTGTGGCATGAGCGGGACAGCCTCTTTAAGAAGTACCTTACATTGCAGCAAAGCCTAGTGACAGAAGGCATTTTTTCGGAGGAGGTCTTGGCTGCAGGACGTGACCATGAGAACGGGGCATTGGAGGTCATCGGCTCGTGGAAGTCCGCGGGTCCCGAAGACGCTGTTGTTGCCGAGCAGATCACGGAGATCGCAGCCAAAAAGCGAAGGAAGGTAGCCCTCCCGCCGGAGCAGCAGACCGAGGAATACAATACCAAACCAGTGCGCAGAGCACTGGTACTGCAAGCACGCACTTGTCTTCAGCTCAAGCGAGCCAGCCTTTGTAGTTGGTGATGGCCATGAGAGAGGGCGGCATCCTTCTGGATTTGAAGGGTGAGCCATGCCCCGTGACTCACTGCCAACAACATGGTATGGATGACACAGCTGTTCTCGGACAGCTAGGTGCAACAACCAAGCAGCGTGAGTCGGGCAAGGACATTACTGCACAGAACGTGTGCTACCACTGCTTCAAACCCATTGTTTTTCGACTTTCCTTTCACATTGGTCCCAGGCCCTCAAATCCACGTCTGCTGCTTTCACTTTGGCCCCAGGCCCTCAAATCCACGTCTGCGGCTTTCACTTTGGTACCATGCCCTCAAATCCACGTCTGCTGCTTTCACTTTGATCCCAGGCCCTCAAATCCGCGTCTGCTGCTTTCACTTTGATCCCAGGCCCTCAAATCCACGTCTGCTGCTCTCGATTTTGTGAATCCTCTGAAAAACCCTTTGAAAATCCTTGGAAATCTTCTCAAAAGCATTCAAATCCTGTGGACGGGGCTGCAGTTTTTGTTTGTACCTTGTTGTTGTTGTTGTTGCTGTTGTTGTTGTTGTTGTCGTTGTTGTTGTTGTTGTTGTACAGCGTACATCTTCGTGACAGTAAACTCGCAGATGTCAGGAGTGAGGCTCTTCAGCTGCCAAGGCTGAGGTGGCCTTGACGCATCGAGGGTGTGACACGCTCAGTTTGCTCCGATTGTGACACCGACCCGAACTTCTCCAAAACACCATGCCCGGAAGTCCAAACGTCGTACAAGCAAACATGACCACGACGCTGCACAGGGGCACTGCAGAAACGCCTGGCAACGCGGTCTTTTCCTATCTCTGCCTTGCTGGCCCGCACTGCATCTCGCGAATCATCCTGAATGTAGCAAAGCCGTCAGTTGCGCCTTTGTGCACTCCTGGCATGTACCACCAAGGGCAATATTCAGCCTTGATCTCTTCGGTAACCTCGGTGCCCGGAGGCACGGGCATCTCGTGCTGCAGGTGCTGTAGCTCTTCCATGCGGAGGCCCAGATGGTCCAAAAGCTTCATCTCGCTATACAAAGCAGAGAGGAACCAACGCCCTGTGTGGCCGTTCCCATGGGCAACAACTGGCCTCTGAAGTGTCTGTCGGTTCACTATCCGCGGCTGTGGAGGAGAGGTGTCGCTGTCGCAAGTCACATCCCACTGCGGCTGCTCCTCGTACATACACTGGAACACGGAACACCTGGGCTCCACGAAATTTTGCAATGCAGCAGCACACATCACCTTGCCCTGCACCTCTCTGAACTAGGCACTCGAGGCACAAGATAAGCAGCAAACCCGAATGCCTCGTCCCGACCCTATAGTCCCTACAATATAAGGATGAGTGGAGCCACTGCGTATCAAGCACAAAGGGATACCGGCTCCCGCGCGCTGCCCGAGCAATCAGGAAGTCGTGGAGCCTGACCTGATCGTTCTCCTGGGAATGCCGTGACGCGCTCTACAGTACTTGTTGCATCACTTGCTTGATCATTCATTCCTTCATTATATGTTTCTGACATATCTTATATTCTATGCATGTACACATGCAATGACTGTGGGTGTTGAGGGTCTTGAGGTGCGCGTTTCGGGCGAAGATTTACGTAAGAGCAGCGTCTTCTGTGTTCAGTGCGGCTTGGGGTTAATCTGTTAGTGCTCTCCTCTGCAGGCAGCGACTCACCGCCGTCTGTGTCATAGATGAGGCCGTGGAGCAAATCCGCCATGGTCTGGCAAGACTTGGACAGCCAAAGACCCTACCGACCAGAAACAAGCATAGTAGAAGCACAGCTTTGCAGAGCAGCGCTCTGCGAGTCCTGCAGGGACGATTGCGTATTCAAGGTTCGACGGCCCACGTCTTGGTGCCTCTGCCGGGCCCACGAGTCCACCAGAGTTGGGGTAACCTTGGCAGGTCTCGTTCAAGCGGATGTAGGCATTGGGAACTTGGATCAGGAAAAAGCAACTCCGTCATGGCTGTCGGAAGCTTCAGCTTTAAAGCCAGACTTGAACAGGCTTTTTCCAACTGGTAATTACGCAGTGTATGCTGACCACCTGGGCACACTGTGCCTCACATGGAAGAAGTCTTGATCATGCTGCGAGAGCACGCCAAGGCGTCGTGCCATCCGGGTAGAGGGCTTCCATCTGTGCCTGTAGCGCCGCGATCACGGGGGTAATGTTAACTTGTACTAAAGCGCCATCCAAAAGCTCTCTGCGACTACGGCTGCAGCTACGACGAGTAATACGATTGCTGTTGCTCCTCCTGCTACTACTGCTACTGAAGGTACTACTGCGACTACGACGACGACGACACGACGAAGACCACCAAAACAACTGCTACTCACGGCCGCTACTACAGTAGTAGTAGTAGTAGTAGTAGTAGTAGTAGTAGTAGTCGTAGTAGTAGTAGTAGTAGTAGTAGTAGTAGTAGTAGTGGTAGTGGTAGTGGTAATGGTAATGGTAGTGGTAATGGTAGTGGTTGTAGTAGTAGTAGTAGTAGTAGTAGTAGTAGTAGGAGGAGGAGGAGGAGTGGTAGTGGTAGTGGTAGTGGTAGTGGTTCTTGCCGTTGTAGTGGTGGTTGGAGTGGTAATAGTAGCAGTAGGAGTAGTAGTCATCGTCGTCGTAGTAGAGTAGTAGTAGTAGTAGTAGTAGTAGTAGTAGTAGTAGTAGCAGTAGAAGACGTAGTAGTACTAGTAGTAGTAGTAGTAGTAGTAGTAGTAGTAGTAGTAGTATAAGAAGTAGTAGTAGTTGTTGT